CTGGAGGGCCATGGGGGGGGGAAGTGAGGGACACCAGTGGGGCTGTAGGGGGACATTTAATTTTAACAATGGATTTTGGGATTTTTATCAGAGAATTTGCAATTTTTTATCAGAGAATTTGTGATTTTTTTATCACGGAAAACCAGGATCCCTGCTGATTACATGCCACATGGAAAGCTCAGCCACACACACACACACACACACACACACACACACACTGCCACTCTGACTGCTTTCTAAACCAGACCACAATGGGTGTGTCTACATGTGCACTTTAATGCACATTAGCCTATTTTAATGCCCATTAAAGCATCACACACAAAAAAGTGCTCTTTAGCAAATGCGCATTAAAGCAGGCGAAATGCACATTTTTCTAGTCCCTCACAATGGAAGTACTAAATTTAATGGTCATTACTTAAAAGTGCATTCACTGACTGTGTACACGCACCCAGAGCTCCAACCTGCTTAAAGAGATACTACCCCGTTCCTACTTAGCTCACCTTGGCAGCTCCAGCCTGCGGGGCCGGGGATCCACAGCAGTGATGCTTTTTTATTTTTTAAAAGAACTTTTTCATGTTCCAAGTCAAATCAAGTCCAAATCCATGAGTCAGTCCAGAACCACAAGTGGCCCTACAACAGGCAAACATCCTCCATCCCCGCCAAGAGCTTCAGATATTTCCAACGTCTTTGGCAGGCATCCTATGTGCACACCCAAGCCTGGAGACTTGGAGTTCAGATGCCCCCAAGTTTCGCCTGCCCTCAGCCATACGGCCACAGGATCAAGCTAGGGAGGAGCCTCCCATTTCCATAAAATGGGCATTAAGCCCCAACACCTCGGCGGGTACTAAACCACGCCAGAAGAACAGTTATCCCCCAGAAGCTTAAGGAAAACTGCCTTCTTGGACCCAGACACATGGTGTTTCTCCTGTGCTGTTCGCTCACAGTGCGGAATTGGACCTCATCTCTTGCAGAGGAACGATGCCCCCCCCCGCCCCTGCCTATCCTACAGTCCAGTGACAGTATATGGCCCAGCCACTGTTTGCCAGCTAAAACGGTCCCAGCCAGATGCGGGGGAGGCATGTGCTATAGCAAGGCAGTGTCTGTCCATCCCTGGCCGCTGGGTTAGTCCTTGCGCCCTCCTCTTCCACCGCTCCTTCCCCACACTTCTTGCACAGACGGTTCACAGGATCCTAAGTGCCACGGGCTCCTTTAAGGAAAGCACGTTCCCCGCGTGCCTTGGCCCAGGAAGTGCCCTGCCTGGACATACCTGTACAGCTCGCGCCACCAGCACTTTCACCTGTTGCAGCAATTGGACGTTTCCTGAATGCACAAGGACACGGCACCCAGCACCCCCAGCAAACAGCCTCTGTCCAGCTCAGTGCCTCACCCCTGCTTGCAGTGGATCTCCTTCCAGGTCCTGGACCCAGGGGCAGCTGCCAGCTCAGGGTCTCCTGGAGGAACATATTGTTTTGGTGCTAGAGTTGGAGGCTGTGAATCAAGCTGACCCCAGGCCCTTCTCTGGAGCAGTCAGCAAGGGCTCGCGACTCTCCATCAACAGGGGCGCTTGAGTGCGGGTCAGACAGACGATGGGGTGGGACGGCTGAGACAGGACCTTCTGCCTGGAGTGGGGGGGACCGGAGTGGGTTGCTCCCAACTGGGAGCAGTGGGGTCACGAATCTATTGGACCAAGGTAGCAAAGACCCCGAGGCGAAAACGTCTTGGCTGCTCACATAGCAACATGCAGGGTCTGCAGGACTGGACACGCTCAGTCAGCTGCAGAAACATGGTAATCTGGCGGGACACTTCTTGGTCTGGAGTCGAGGGCTGTGGCTGCGGAGGGTGGGAGGGAGGGAGGGAGCAGACGAGGGTTGCGCAGCACCGAGCACAGCGACGGTGCTGTCTGCACGTGGCATGTCTGGCTCCCTGCCCTTTGTGTGGAGGGCACGCACGGAGCTCCCTGCTTTGCCACAGTGGCTGGAGCCAGGCTGGCTCGGGCCCCTCTGTCCTGCGCGCGCCTGCAGTGCAGATCCCTCGTGGAGGCACTCGCGATGCAACACCAGCTCCCAGGGGCACGGTGGATGCAGGGCCCCTCTGCAGCGAAGAAGGGACTCTGCTGCACTTGGCAGCGCTGCCAGGACCGACACGGCGGTACCACGTGCAGGCCTGGGGCGCAGGCGCATGTTTGAGGAGGGATGCGGCAGCCAGAGGGGATGCAGAAGAGAGCCAGGCAGTGAGCTCAGGCTAGACATGCTCTGGGGTCAGCGGCCCGGCTCTCCCATGAGACGATTGCTGGTCAGTGCTGACCGGTTTGTGTCCAGCTGGGAGAAAGCACCAGGACAGAAGGGCTCTTTCACCAACACGAAGAGGCTGAGCAAGAGTCCTTCCCCAGGGAAGGGCCCCAGACAGCGGACACCCCAGTCCTCCAGCGCCATCAGGAGCACGGGGCTGGGGCCCTGGGCTGCCTCACAGGGCGCGTGGCCGTCTAGGCTGAGCCCCCACGGCCCCAGGAAGGGGATGACGGGTGAGGACAGGACCCTGCAGCGCAGTCGGACAGCAGGGGCTGCGGATGTGACCAACTTGCTGGAGGCCCGGTGAGAAGGAGGATGGGGGTCTTGCTTGCAAGGCAGCCCCTCCCTGAGCAGGGTGACACCGGGGCCCTGCCCAGTGACCCGTGCACAGACGCACGGCACTCGGGAGCTTCTCTAAGGGCCTCCCGATCCACACCAGCTCTCGTCCCTCGCACATTTCCTGGACCGTCCCAGCTGCAGCATCGCTCCGGTGCCACGAAGGCCTGAGCTCCTGGATAAGGAACCCTTTAAACTCACACACATGATGTCCCCCACTAGAAAACCCATTTACTTGGCGCCGTGCAGGATGGCGCGGGCAGGGCCGACGTGAGGTCAGCAGAACAGAGCCCCGAGCACCCACGGGGAGGACGAAGGAGCTGGGCTGGTCTCTGCCGTCGGTGACAGGCTGAGGACGGGAGCCAGCCCGCGGCTGTCCCAGGAAGGGCCTGGCTCACGGGGGAGAGTCCAGGGAGGGGAAAGCCGGGGCTCAGCAGGAGCTCAAGCCCAAGAGCCCAGAGCAGCAGCGAGAGGAGGCGCATCTGCGGCCAGAGCTGGAGCTGTCCTGGGGAGACGGAGACGCAGGGCGCGGCGGCGAGTCGGGGAAGGGGTCGCAGCGAGCGGGGCGCAGAGGAGGGGAGGTGGCTGTGGCCAGCAGCAGCCCCTGCGTGATGGAGACGAGGACGCAGGAGATGCCGGGCGGCTCCAGGTTGAGAGCAGGAGCGCGTTCACTGCGCCTCGGAGGGGGGCAACTCGCAGGACGGAGTCATGGTGTCCAGGATGTGGCCCGGGCCTGGATTCGGTCTGCGGGTGAAGACGTTGGTGCCGACCCTGCGGGGAAGCACAGAGGAGCCGCTGGCCAGGCACGGACCGAGGCCTTACGGCTCGGGGCCACAGGGACCTCGAGGGGCAGCCCAGACCCCGCGCAGAGGCTGCACACGCTGCTCCTGCCCGTCCCAGGCACGCCACAAACCCTCTTCAGTTTCTCCATCCCGGGCTACTCCCGGCCGTGACTCAGGGCCCCGGCAGCACCGGGCCACGGGGGTGCGTCACCTCCTTGGTGTCCGGCGAGCCATCTCTGCTGCCCTGAGCACCCGTGGCACGGCCCCATGCAGGGCGCCCGCAGGCCAGGGGCTGCTCCTGTGGGCAGGGGATCTTAGGGTCTCACCTAATTGCTTTCCAGTCGTCCTTTGGAGATTCGACCTCCTCCCACAGCAACCACGTGGTTCTCAGTGTCTCCTGCCCACTCTCGTCCATGAAGCACTGGCCCACGAAGGCAGTGGTCGAGTCTGCGGGAATCAACCCAGCGTCAGACTGAAGCAAGTGGATTTGGCCCAAACCACAAGCAACTGAATGGCCTGAGCCTGGTGGAGATGCAG